GGTTGGACGGGGCTTGGAGCAACCTGGGCTGGTGGGAGGTGTCCCTGCTCATGGCAGGGGGGTGGGACTGGATGATCTTCAAGGCCCCTTCCAACCCAAACCATTCTGTGATTCTAGGAGTTAAGCTCTTCCCTCTCCAAATATCCGTCCCCCTGCCTATCCACCCATCCCCATGGCCTCTGGGGCTCATCTGTCCGTCTGTCCATCCCTAATAGCCCCACGGCCAGCAGGGACCAGGACCTGGGCTCCTTGCAGCTCCCCGGGAGAGCAGACGGCCCTTTCCTTGGCTTTTGCAGGGACCCAAAAGGGCCGAGCAGCCAAGTGACCTGGTGTCACCCAGCAAAACGTGGTGATGTCACCAGGTCCCAAAAAACCTGAGCAAGGCGCTGGTCGCCCAGGTCTAGCGTCAGCTGAGGTCGCTCATCTCCTCCCACAGCTGTGTGTATGTGGGAGATCCTGAGCTATGGCAAGCAGCCCTTCTTCTGGCTGGAGAACAAGGACGTGATTGGGGTGCTGGAGAGAGGTGACCGCCTTCCCAAGCCCGACCTCTGCCCCCCGGTCCTCTACACCCTCATGACGCGCTGCTGGGACTACGACCCCAGCGAAAGGCCCAAGTTCAAGGACTTGGTGTGCAGGTTGAGGTGAGTAGGGGATCCATGATGGGTTGAGGGTTCCACGGTTTGATGGAGGGGTGGGCAAGTGGGTGAAGGAGAAAAATGAAGCCGCGCAAGATTTTGGGTCTGGAGTTTTCTGGCCAAGTCTGAACTCAAAGAACCCTTTGAGACCATTTGAGGTCACCTGCCCCCAGGGGTGTGGTGGTGGTGCCTGGTCTGAAATGGAAACGCTTTGCTTCCCGGCGAGAGGTCTTGCAGGAGAGTCCTGACCCCACATCTCCTTGGGGCCAGCCATGGTGATGCCGGTGTGGTTGGCCATGACCCAGTGCTTTCCCTTCGCTCTTCCCATCCCTACCTTGTTCCCTCATGTTTTCCGTGGCCCATCCAGCTCACGCATCGCCATGCTCTGGGATGTGGGAGATGCGCCAATGCTCCCTCCTGGGGCTGTCACCCTCCCTCTCCCCCTGCAGTGACATTTACCAGATGGAGAAGGAGCTGGCCAAGGAGCAGGAGAAGAACAACCGCCACCGGCCTCCCAAAATCATGGAGCCGCCGTCCTTCCAGGAACCACCTCCGAAGGTGAGGAGAAGGCAGAGCCCGTGCGGGCAGTGCAGGCATGTCCATCTCCCCGATCTTTCACCCACCGTGCGGTTCTCCCTCCTCCTCTCTCCACAGCCCAGCAGACCCAGGTACAAGCCACCACCCCAGAACAACCTCCTGGCTCCCAAGCTGCAGTTCCAGGTAAGGTTGCAGGGCCGGAGCATTCCCTCAGGGACATGAGGAAAGGGCTCAATGCCGGAAAGCCCCGCCTGGAGCTCGAGCTCTCCAGGGCTCGTGGATTTTGGGGCTCTGAGGTGCCCCACGCCACTACCGAGTGCCTCCCGCCGCCTTGCCCAGCAGGACACCGCACTGCTCGGGGCTCAGCCCTGCCCGCCCTGTGTTTAGTCTGTCCCTCGGAGGTGGCAGAGTGGCTTTCGCCCCAGGGAAGGGCAGTTTGTGTGCTCGGCTGGGAGGAGAGGAGTTTTGCTGCTCTCTGGCTTCTGGTCCAGTTCGGGGCTCCCCGGGTCAAGAAGGACAGGGAACTGCTGGAGAGGGTCCAGCAAAGGGCTACGGAGATGTTGAGGGGAGTGGAGCATCTCTCTGCTGAGGAAAGGCTGAGGGACGTGGGGCTGTTCAGTCTGGAGGAGAGAAGACTGAGGGGGATCTTCTCAACGCTGATCAATCCTTCAAGGGAGGTGCCGGGGGATGGGGACAGTCTGTTTCCAGTGGTGCCCAGTGACAGGACAAGAGGGAACGGGCACAAAGGTGACCATGGGCAGTTCCATCTCCACCTGAGGAGGGCCTTCTCTGCTGTGAGGGCGGCAGAGCAGTGGCAGAGGCTGCCCAGAGAGGTGGGGGAGTCTCCCACTCTGGAGCCATCCCAAACCCGCCTGGACACCGTCCTGTGCCACTGCTGGAGGTGCCCCTGCTCTGG